ATCCGGCAGATATGACCTTCGGCACTTCCCTCGCTCTCGCCCGCACCCACACCCTGTAAAATACCTTCCAACTTCTGGGAGCCTTCTCTGCTCGCGACGTAGACCTACTCGACGTCTCCAGCCTAATTGTCCATATGACCGAGTCACAGTAAAAGTAAACTGGTCTACAGAAATGTAAATATCTAAATAATAATAGCGTGGAGAAAGCAAATACAGGAAAATAAATTTGTAAGAAACTTAAGAAGTAGAGACCACTTTAAAGTTATTTACATTAAACAGTATTAGTCAGAAAACAGAAATAGATGTACTTTACAATTTCTCAAGGTAAGTTAGACAACTAAATAAGTAGTAGAAGGAGTCCGATGGCCTGTCATAGCTCTCTCCCGACGTCAGCTATCAGGTTTTAGTCGAGGATCAAGATTGGGATATAGCAGAAAGAACTGCGCAGACTCACTTGCAGTCCAATGAAAGGCTCATAGGCTGCAAAATACTACGTCGGGTCGCCTGCAGTATTTACACGCGACGACGATACCCCGCTATTGATACCTTTGATGTCAGGAAGATATGTGCGCGTAGATGTTGTACCTACATATGGTATTCCATACATCCCGACTCCGTCGCTCCATCCGTACGGGTTTGTTATCTCCACTCGCACTGGTTGGTATTTCCACTCTGTACTTGCTGTTTATTACTTGTTGAGGCTTCGTGTCCTTCTCTGTTCGATATTATGCGTCCCTCTCCATAGTGCTCGCTCTTTGTCCCGGCCCGTCGCCCTCCTCTTGTGTTCCCGTTGTCCACTTGTGGTTGTCTGTAGTCTGTGCGTCCCTTTGATGCTGTCCTCTTTGTTCTGCCCTCTCTGTCTACAACGTTTTTTTTCGTACCGTTCTGCTCTGGTTGATTGCACTTATCAAGACACTGGTACTTGCGTACCATGCTGCGAATGGATCTGGCCCTTCCTACATCCAGGACATGGTTAAACCGTAAACCCCAGCACATGCACTCCGCTCTGCATCAGCCAAACAGCTCGCTGCACCCGCACTGCGAGGGGGACCCAAGTTCCCATCAGCAAAAACACGTGGGTTTGCTATCCTGGCTCCAAAATGGTGGAATGAGCTCCCCATTGACATCAGGACAGCAGATAGCTTGCAAGCCTTCCGGCGCAGACTGAAAACTCATCTCTTTGGACTCCACTTTGAGCGATATAATTACTAACAAAGCACTTATATACTAATAAAGGACTGGCTTATCTAAAGCCAGTTGAGTAGCACTTGAAATGTTTGGCTCTCTGAAACCTGATGTACTTATATGATTCTGTTTTCTTCAAGGTTGTATCTTCCTGGTCGAATGTACTTATTGTAAGTCGCTTTGGATAAAAGCGTCAGCTAAATGCAATGTAATGTAATGTAATGTAATGGGTAGGTAAGTTTGAGAAACCGGTTCGAGATACACTTTTTGTTATCCATGGAATGCTCTTAACATCCCGATAGCAATGAATATCTTAAGTGCTTTGACAAAAAATCCATAGCAAAATGTCATCTGTGGAAGCCGTAGTAGCTACTGTAAAAAGCACGACCAATCATTTTAGCCGGCCCGGCTGAAATAACTGGATGGCCTATCTGCCTGTCAGCCTGCCACAAACTTATCTCGTGCCCTCATTGGTCATGTGCGCGTTCGTGTGTGTTGGTGAGGAGGGGCTCTGTAACGAAGTGTCAGATTTTTTCCGGCTGTGTATTTTCAAATTCTAGCGCACTCGAGCTGGTTTCTTCAAAATGACCTACCCCACCTTTAACTTATAATATAATGTGTGTTGGTTTTTGTACAACCTAATAACCTAAATCTGCATAATGTAATGAAGTAAAAAGAAGCTTGAAATGAAAAATACTAATGTAAAGTACAAGTAACTCTTTCTTAAGTACAGTAGTTGAGTAAATGTACCTTGTTGTTACTCCACTGTTGATACCAGGGTCAGGTACAGTATTATCTTCTAAATGTGTAACGACACTGTAGTTACTGTTGTGCAGGTCCGCTCCTGAACGGAGGGGGCGCTGTGGTGGTGTAGTTATTGGGAAGTAGGCTACTGTGAAATATTGCCATTCAGCAACCAACCATCATATCAACAAGACTCCAACAGCAGTCTGTGTACACGTTTTATCCGAATTTAGGATCACTTCAAAACACCTAGCTATGCGTTTCAGATAGCACGTCAACGCTTCTGGACTGTCCGTGTTGTTTTAAGGAAGCAGGTCCTTTATTTAAACAGCCGGGTGTTTCAGACTCGCTGTGACAATGTCGACCTCCGTGGAGTTCCACTCTCAGATCGCCTCCATCATGGAGGTGCTGGCTAATGCGGCCGTGGCGGAAATTTGTAAAGTTGTAGACGACGGATATACGGTGGTACACCTGCAGATGTCCCGGAGCCAGAAGGACAACGAGTTCCTGCGACGGAAACTCAAACTGATGGAGCTGCAGGTCGCCAGGTACCGGGCGGAGAGAGTGAGGGGAGCGGAGGGCTTCACCGGCGGCCGCTTCCCCGGGGTCCGCCCCCTCCACCGACAGAGCAGGGACTCACTGGCCGGTAAGAAGCCCCGACACCTGGAACTTTAAAATGTCTTCATAATCATATTGCTAAACAATAGACATAACCTAACATGGCTGTTGAATGTGTGTTCTACAGAAGAGAAATAGAATTCTGACTTTTTTCTCAGAATTCTAACGGACTTTTTTCCCTCTGATTTCTGTCTGACTTTTCTCAGAAATATGGCTTTTTTTTTCAGAATTGTGGCTATTTTCTTAGAATTCTGAGATTAAAGTCAAACTCAAAATGTCATGTGGCCCTGATCCCCTCCCGTAGTGCTCTGTTATACATAATTATATAATTTGTTTATGAATGATTTATTTATGGTGGAAGGAGATATTGTAAATAAAGTCAAACCATTGTTACAGTTCTGAAGAAAAATATTTTCCCACAGTCTTATCTTTTCTAGCTGTGTGAGATTATTTATATTGCTTTCATAAAGGAATTACAACCATCATAAATAATAATTTAAGCTGACGGGAAGCAGTATATTTGGAATATGAAGTCTAGGTGTTCTACTTTAGGGGGTTACAGTTCACAACAGGACATAACCCAACACTCCAGCACGGCCGCAGAACACCTGCTCTTTCACAGTGAATGATCTGATCATTAGATCATAAGACTAGATTAGTCATTTGTAACCAATTCATGTCCTTCTTATTTCCCAGCAGGCCCCATGCTGCAGGCCAGGACCAGGTTTCTGAACCGAGATCCAGCGACTCAGCAGTCTTCAAGGAAGATCCAACCCATCAACCTGGACCAGGACCCTGATCAAGAGGTGGTCACCAACACCAAAGCTGAGGTAGATAGATAAGATAAGATAAGATGGTACTTTATTGATCCCAATTTGGGAAATTGTTTTTGTTGCAGCAGCAATTCAGATACCAATTCTAGAAAGCATTTTTTATATTGGCCTCTCTTGTTTTTTTTGTTTTTTTTTAGGGGGGACATACATTTAGCCATGACGTTATTCTGGTTTGTTTGCAATTATAAATTATTTTATGCAGACATAGGGGAGAGGTAGAAAATGATTTAAATGTGGAAAAACAAAGAGTGTGTTGGTTTCTTTTTTACAGAAACCCAATATGCTGTATCTCCCCTGTACATTAGTCAAATGATTATAAATCCCCCATCACAGAAACACAACTTTATATCTTCTGTATAACAAAGTTGTGCTCATCATTTTCTTAGAAATAGGTAATTCAGCATGAAAAAGCATTTCAAAATGATAAATTGACTATATATATCTTAGCTGAAAAATCTGAAATAAAACAATAAGGCAGCCCTAGCAAAAGCCAAAACATACAGTACGTGACTTGTTGTATCAAAAACATCTGGTATCCTTTATCATTTATTAAACTATAGGCAGCAGTTTAATCCTATTAGTATTTTTATAAAATCATTTTAGTTATTTTAATCAGTGTGTCCTCTCAGTCAGCAGAGCCTGAGGAGGAGGAGGTACTGCTAATCGTCAAGGTGGAGGAAACAATGGAGACTGGAACCCCCCACCATGAGGCGGCGGACGTTAGAGGAGACGCCAACCCCGCCACGTCAGCCCCCGGCCCCCCGATGGACGCCAGATGCCATCGCGAAATGGAGGTCAGTGGATCTGACATCGTCACATTAGTTGTCGGCAGGACAGCTGTAACTGACAGCAGTGACACAACCCACAGTTCCCAGCTGATGCTAACAGGAAGTGATGTCAGAGCAGGGGACAGTGAGCCGCTGGACTCAGGAGCCGGCAGTGTGGTCGCTTCTTGTGCCGACGTAACGGACATCAGGAAAGATAATAAGGCTGCTTTAGACACATCCTCCCTGTCAGAGGTGATAGTCATTGATGGAGAGGCGGCATCAGAGGGGTGTGTGTGGTCAGATTTAAACCAGAAAAAGACAGAAGCAGGAAGAGAGAAAAACGGACATGATCAAACTACATCACCCAGGATTCAGTTGGGCGCTGGGCTGGAATCAGTGCAAGTGAAGTCCTCACTGCAGGAAAGGTCCGTTCTACCTCCAGATGCCATTCCAGGAACATCTAGTGGTGGGATTAGCTCTGGTATCAACTCCTCCGTGGATCTTCACCGCCCTGCGAGCCAACACCAGCCCCCCCACCACAGCCACTACAAGCCCTTCTCCAGCAGCTTCCATCTGGCCTTCCACCACGCTGTCACCATGGAGCGTCTGTACGGCTGCACCATCTGCACCAAGCGCTTCTTCCTGGAGTCGGACCTGCGGAAGCACCTGGCCCGGCACACCAGGGAGAAGCCCTACGCCTGCCTGCTCTGCGGCAAGAGGTTCGTGTGCCAGAGCCAGCTGGACATCCACTGCAATGTGCACACCGGAGAGAGACCCTTCAGCTGCTCCATCTGCAGCCGCCGCTTCTCCCATCCCAGCAACCTGAAGAGGCACCAAAAGATCCAGCACTCAGAGAGCAACCCCCCCCACCCACACAGGATAATGCTGCACCAGAGTTACCAAGCAGGGGGAAGTTATCCCTGAAGAGGACGAGACAAGGCTTTTCAAAGCAATACTAACACTTTTTAACCCTGAGGATTACTATTGAGAGAGGTGATGTAGCACAAACATAAGCAGCTCCTCTGAAATTTGACCTGTCTGAATGGCTCTCCAGTTATTTTAATCATCCACCTTTTCAGTTTTAATTTAATTATATGCAATTTTAATCTAGTGCAGGGATGGCGGACACAGCTGAACACTACAATAAAGAAAATGACAGGATGTTTGGGTGTTGCAGGAAAAAAACCAATGAATTGTTTTAACCTGTTAAGCCCCGTAGCCCCCCCAGGCTTTTTCCCCCGTTTTTTTTTCACAAAACTGTGTCTCAGGGCTTCTTAAAATGTAATACTATTAATGTGTCATACTCACTTAAAGGGAAGAAACTCGACAGTCGGAATGGTTCATAAATACACAGCTGACCACCGATAATCATTGTAGGAAATTTCGTTATTTTATTATGAGTGTGTCTGATCTTTTCTATTCTGACACCCTCTTTTATGGAAAAAAGAAGTCTTGACATGTTACCACTGAAATACAATGTATAGAGGAAGTGGTAGTTTATGGCTCAGTAAGTATGTTGTTTAATATTATTCATACCATGGAGTAGTTCATCGTGATGCCCTCCACCTAGTCCCGGTGTACTGCTAAACTCAAATAAATTAGAGGTCTAAGATTCTTTTTATCGGTGTAGAGACTTTTTGTTTTGCGGGTATAAATAGAACCTCTTTCAGTCTCGTCTTTAGTGTCCCTTGTTTTCCAGCCAGATCTTAAGACTCTTTTTTCAGTCTAAGATGAAAGAGAAGACATCTTGTGTGTGAAGTTGTCGGAGCAGATTCGCAATACAGATAACAAATCGTTATACTAATCCTCTGTCAAAATTCAGGTCCACAGCCCCGAAGAATGGCCGGTCACTAGGGGACGAGACGCCACCTCCCCGCCTGGGGGCCTTCGCCGGCGGCCCCCGTTCGGAGCGAGGGAGTGAGGCGAAGGAGGCGGCCATGGGACCGCTGGGACGTCGGGAGTAGAGTACAAACTAGAGGCAGGCGTCGCTTGGAGCAGACAGGAAACCGAGGCCTGTGGAGACGTCCACACTGGTGGGCATATGCAGGCAGCAGGATGTTGAAATGGGGTTTAAAGGCGGTCGGCTAATCGTCGGGAGTGCTGCCTCCGCTAGTACTCTCACACTTGAGTGCCTCCAAGCTGGTAACAGTGTCGCTCAGGACTTTGTGGGCCGCAAATTATATCTTTCCTGGAGCGAGGATTTTGTTGTGCTTGTCGTTTCGCAACGGCACGATAGACTTTGCGTATCGAGTGCCACAAAACTTCACTAGGATTTAAGCCTATTTGCAACATGTGTCTGACGACGAACCTCAGACACCACTATACTACCACCAACGAACTTCCGTTATAAAGGGTCATCGGATGAAGGGTTATTGAGTTGGGTGGGTCGTGCGCGGGGGTAGGCAAGTCGCTCGCCTGGGACGTGGTTGTCATTGGATAGTCACAGCGAATGTGGGAAATTCTTCGTGATATGAGCGCATGGACTGGACCATAGTTGTCACCTCATTGTTGTTCCATCGTAAATTAGTGATGACGAGTGAATTCTTTGCTCGAGGATCGAGACATAAAATGTAATCAGTAAAAGAAGTAACAGTCGAAGTAAATTGAAGTAACTGTATACGGCTAAAATCCAATAAGTCCAACATTGTTTTTGGTTGTGTGTAATATAAGTCTTCAATTTCCACCCCATCCAAGTAAGACTTCCTTTGGTCGAGCGTCGCACCGATCTTAAACTTTTATGTGTCGGCCTTTTTTAGAGCGAATGTGCTGCGGGAGGAGTGGTTTGTGTGGTTGCGCGTGTACACTGGTTACTCGCCGTGCTCTATTCGAACACCGTCCGACTAGTCCGTCTATCCGGTAGGTCAATAAAGTCGCCCGTGCCGATTGCGCGGGCGGTGGGGCGAGATCTTAGACACTAGAGTCGAACGATGTTGCGAACATAACACGTCTAGGCTGATTCATATTTCATTAGATATGGATCATCAAGACACGATTCACGCAATCGTAAAAAGTGAGTCCGAGTAAATCTGCGAAGAACACTCTGAACACAAAACAAAGCCATTTTAACAAGTATAAGTA